AAAAAAAAAAAAAAAGAGCATTTGCAGCGGGAGGGAACAGAAGAAAGACCACGTCTCCACGTGATAAAATTTTATTACAAAATATGAGATAGATTAATAATTGTAGGGGAGTTGGGGGGCGGGAGGGGAGTATGTAACAAACAAAAGCATCACCAGAAAATCAAACCTTCCACCCAAGTTTTCCAGGTCCCAATTTTTTCTTTTCACATTGTGTTCATCTCAGACAGCGAACGATCACTTTCAATCCACGCAGACCCATGAAGCCGTACAGTGCTTTTTTTTCCTATTTACAGCGATTTCTTATTTCTTTTCCCCCCCCCCACCCTTGCTATGATACAGGCGCAGCAGAGACGAGGCACCCACCTCCCGGCAGGGCTGGTATTTGTTCTGCACCAAGCACAGGTTCACAAACCTCCTCCAACGTCTCCAAAGCGTCCCAGGGGACCAGGGACAGAGGGATCTTCATTCGGCCGGGGGACGTGCACCCCCCAGCTACGTCGCTCGGCTCCGAGCCGTCCCTCCCGTAGCAGAGGGGGGCTTTGCTCCATCAGCAGCACTCCCCATCTCCCCCGGTTTTCTCCCGGGGAACAGCTGCCCTCGGCCACCAAGAGCCGCGATGAAATGCGAGGCTAGAGGCCGTCCACGTAAAAACAGAGAAATAAAAGCCGAGGTTTGCTGTGGTTTTCCTTCGGGCTTTTTTTTCTTGGGTTGTTTTTTCTTTTTAAAGTGTTGCTTTTGCACTAGTGAAACACTTGCATGTTCAGCGTTTTGCCTGCAGAGCCGTGGTGCTGCTTGGGAAGCCGTACTGGGTTGGGGTGGGTTTTTGTTAAGACACTTCTTCCTCTGTCCCCGCATCAAATTAAAAATAAAAATAAAAATATATATATATATCTATATATACACACACAGAGTCTATGTGAGGATGAGCAGATGCATTTCTTCTGTAGTGAAAAAAAAACCAAGATCATCAGGAAAATTATTTAAAATTCCCCTAAGATTTAAAGCTGCCTGTTGGTTGCTTTGGCTTCGTACTGTTTTCCAGCGAACAGGTTTTGAGCCCCACCAGCACAGCAGGGGAGGGAGCGATGGAAACGGGGGTTTGGGGGGGAAGAAGCAGAGGTTTCCTTCT